CATCGCGGATGAAGAGCCACGTCAAGCGGCATGTGTTTGGCTCGTCGTCAAACTCATGCCGCTTGACGTGGCTCTTCATCCGCGATGAACGAGACTGTGGAACCCTCAACTTCATTTTGTTACAGAAGAAAACTGAAGGAAGGAAGAAAACTGACCAAAAGTGCAGTTCACATGCATTTCATGTGACTACATTGGGCATATCTAGTTTAACGGTCGCACTGGCATCGGTTTGCCGTTGTCGCTTAGAAAAACATTATCCATGGGTCGAGCAGCTGGGCTCCGTTTTATGAGGTAACTTGTCTATATCACTTAGTAAATGAAATGAACACTAGGGCAAATTTTAGCCAGTTTTGCTTGTTCATTGCTCAGCACGCTGGACCCAGCCGCAAAACCAGAATGCGAGAAATATTGCCCTCTACACGTACGCTATATTGATCGTTTCGCTGAAAATTGAAGATATTTCATTTTTAAGTGGCTAAAACCATCCCCAACAAAGACTTTGATCACCCTATAGTCCAGTATCTATTTGATAGGTGATAACTTGCTTAAAGGTGATTCTCAATGGCAAATAAAGCATTTCCAGGCCAATAATAGCGCTCTGTATTGGCCTTTCACCTCTCCTGCAGAAGTCTTGCGAATAGAAAGTAAAAACCAGTTTGATTAGATAGAAACTGTTCTATGATTCTGCGTTTGCGACCAGTTCACTAGCACATTTGATCTTGATCACTTGACTTCCGAAAATGGGCAGGGACATGTGAAGTAGTGGACTGTGCTTTCTATGGCTCCCTCTACGAATTCCTTGAAGACAAAATGTACGCGAGGATTATGATCTTTGCTGAAGGGTGGGGGGATGGATCAGCAGCACCCGATAGGACGCTGTAACTAGGGCGGGATGTTGATTGCTTTGCTCCGGTTTATGTTAGACCCCCACCAGCGGAATGCGCGCGACACGTAATACCGCCATACGGCCAACCACAAGCCTAACCATGGCGACGCTCTACTTGCTCGCCCTCTTAGGCAGCGTTTAGACTTCGCGACGGCAGCGCCTCGGTCGTGCATTCGGCGCGATCGATGCACATGCTTTCAACTGCATCGATCGCGTCGAGCGCACGACCGAAGCGCTGCCGTCGCGAAGTCTGAACGCTGCCTCACGTCTGCGTTGTTCTATAGCCTGCATATGTCCGCCGCGAAACTGTGGTATCGACCCTGTTGCTGTACCTTAGGGGTGGCACGGGTTGATATGCTAGCAATACCTAGCTTCCTCCACCCTTCAGCTTCATTTCCACGCCATTTCGAGGGTCGTACTTGCACAACTGTCGGCCCGTTTTCCTTGCACCATTGTGCAGCCTCGCGACGGGTGTCATATTAGTGTCAGTAGAACCCGTCCTCCCCCTCAGAGATTTCCTCTTTTACGACCCTCCACCGAGAAATTCCTCTATTACCACTCTGTCTCCCTCCTACCGTCTTACAGCGCGCGTAAAGCGGTAGAACCGAAAAAAACTACTCGTGACTCGGGAATAAAGGCGAGATACGCCCCTCCCTGCTCCCGCCCTCCCCGTCGACCATGTACAACCTGCTGATGGGAATCTCCCAAAGATGCTGTGCTATGCTTCCTACATGGAAGCGCTCGTCTTCGGAGGTGAATTCATCCACCCCGGACCTGCTTCTCAGCCCTCTTCCACTCCCTCTCCCATCGCAGGCCATCGCAGGTGAACTTAGGGGATAACGAATGAGGGTTTGTCTGGATAGAAGAGTCATTATGGCTTCTTCATGGAGAAATTCTTTTCTTTCCTCCTTCATAAGGCATTTATTGTCTATTGAATATTTAAAAAAATCAAATAGAACTGTTCTTTGTTCGGTGTATCGCCTCAAGTGGGCGGAGCTTACAGTAATTGTGATTTGGTATCACGCGTATTCAACACTGGCCTAGATTTTGGAGAAAACCTTGACGGGAAGATTTATATGAGAATCAGGCCCTATATCCATATGGGAACACATACTTTCTAAGGACTTTTTTACATTTAGGAATTACGCGATTGTCCAATTTTTTCAGTTGTGGTTCTTTTTGGAAGGATTCGCTGCTTTTTTTCAGGTCATTTGGTACAACCATGGAAGAGACTTTGAGCAACTGGCTCAAAGAGGACGTAAAGCCGTTTGGTCGCGGCGGAGGTGGTTGTATTAACGTTGGTCACGGCTATGAAACAAAATCTCTCGGGAGGATATTTGTGAAAGTCAATAGAAAGAATGGGGTAGGTACTTTCGGATTATTTTTTTCTTATTGCTTTTCATCGATTTTTCATGGTTATCTTCAGGTGTCATCGCACGTTTACTACTGTACCATTTGCCATCTATTTCCGCTTTCCTTATTCTACAATTATATCTGCTTGCAAGGGGTAGGTCGTGTGGAGGGGGTGGATTTTGGGCAGGACAGATGCGGAAAGTTCGGCGATGATCATCGCGGCCCTTTTCTTTTGACTCCAGCCGCCAAAATTGTTTCGTAAGAATATTCAAATAATAGTAGGGTAGCTGGGGAGGCGGCCATCATTTTCGTACGTTTTGTATTTCTTCTTCTACCCTGCGCTGCGCCAAATCCAACGCTGGCGTCTTCCCAAACGCTAGATTGAAACATACGTTTTATTTTTATACAATTCTTCTACGAAAAGTATGAACGCAGCCTTACTCTCCTTCAAACTAGGCGTCCCTGTGAATTTGCTGGCCTTAGAAGACAAGTGAAGCCAGAACGGTAAAAGTGTGCGCATTATTCCTGAGCCTTAATGCGAATGTTTACAATTATATTCAGGAATGCAACTTCCTTAACAATATATAATTTTTAATGAGCATGTATTTCAGTCTGAAACCATGTTTCGTGGCGAATATGCCTCGTTGAAAGCGATGTATGAGACGGAGACAGTACGTGTGCCGAAACCAATCGAAGTGTTGAACGTTGGCGGTACGTAAAACCTTCTCTTATCGCTTACATCATCGATGATCCTCTCCACATGCCATCACGCTCTCATTTATTCGCATTCTTTTGGTTATTTATCTTTGCTGAGCTCTTTGCGTCCGATCTAGTTGTTTGAACTTGAAGTGATGTTTTCAGCTCATGGCTGGGCTCTCGTCACGGAGTACATCGATATGGGTGGTGGTAGTCGTGGAGATCTAGTGGAACTCGGGACACAACTGGCAAGGTCGTCTGATGAAAACGTGATTTGTTTTGGTTATTACAAGGCATAGCATCAGTCTTTTACTACAACCTCGAAGTCTCAAATTTCACTGAAAATTTGAAATTCACTGCCCTAAGTACGACTATGGTGTTCGTTTTGGCTTCAGTACATTTCTCACTAAAATACTGATGATTTTACATGCAGAAATCATATAATTTTGGGTCATTAATGCTCATTCGTTT